TGATAGTTTACCTATTTTATATGACTGCCAAGTTTAATCAGAGCGCTAGCACGAAAATTTAAGATATAATATGGTAACTGAGGTGACGTAAGCGTCATCGATGAAATCTGTATTCATTTTGTGTATCAGAAATAATGTACAACGACGAATCCCTTAAAAATTCGATGACGTTACAAATAACGTGTACTTTCCCGCAAATTTTCGTGTTATGCTTCATATCTCCCTTATAATTCACTAGACTAACATTATATTATAAAAATAATGAATACTGAGAAAAAATTTCAACAAATACACAGATTAAATAATCGTCTTTGCCATTATCTTTCAATTTAAAATGCTTTGAAATATCCAGCACAAAGACAGATTTGTCGATGAAAATTAAACCCTTAATCCCTAAAAGGCCCGCCCTCATGCGAGATTCATTTTAATTGTGTTTACCAAGATCTAAACTCGGTGTAACTTTATACAAAGATTTATTAAAGGGAGAACTTTGTGGAGTGGCGGCGTAAGGAAATCCGGCGATCCATCTCTTCTCTAGAGATGAATCTACTAAGAATATTTAATACTTGCAACACAGTTACATTATACGCTAGCTTTTGCTTGCAACATCGTCTGCGTGTTATTAAAAAATATATAATCAAAAACGTAACTATTTAATGGTGAAAGAATTTTTGAAATCGGCTCAGTAGTTTTTTAGTTAATTCAATACAGACAAAAATACAAATCATTCCTCTTTATAATATTAGTATAGATATAGATGGAATAGTAAATATATTCCCGGCTACTGAAGTTCATTTATAAAATATCCATATTAAAACCAGTAATAAGATAAATAGGAAATAATGTATTAATTAAACAGAAATTAGCATGCTACTGTTGAAGTACGAAATAATTAAAACATATTAGTCTCCGGCCCTCTAGAGCCGTAAAATGTCAAAAAAGTAATTTAATTTTTCGACCTAGCGTTCTACTTTGTATGCTTTATGATTACATTCAGTAGAGTAACAAATTAATAAAATTACATGACTGAAATAACACTTGTATATTATTCACGTTTTTAGTAAGTTGAATTTTATCCACCGTTCTTTAGATTTTTGATTGACATTACGTTCGTTTCTTCCTGAGTGTACTATGTACTATAGTGTGCATGTACATATGAAATTCTGACTGAATGTGATATTAACCAAACCTAACACTATTTTTCATAATTATCATTTTAATAAAGAAACAGAAGTAATAATTTCTGTACTAAATGAAATGAAAAAAAAAAATACTACGTTTGCAAAACCAATGCGAAACTTATTACAACTCAATTTTGGCCGAACAGAAATTCGTTCAGGATTGATATAGAAAAGGGGAAGAATACCTTTGAGAGCGCTGTTACACAATTTTCTCGGCGTACCCTTTTCGTTCGGCACTCCACCTTTTTGCTCCTTAACGTCTGTCTCCACCTTTTGTACAATCAAAGGTCAAATACTTGTGCATTTATTGATCGTACTTGAACTGATTTTAGATTTTGTTCAATTCTATTCCCTTTCTTGTAAGCAAAAATAGTGAACTGCTTTGTTTAAGATAAGTGTACATTTTAGATATTGAAATACCTATTATTTCACTCCACGCAAAAAAGCATAATTAACATTGAATAAATAAAACCGAAAACTAAACTTTGATAGCAGTACTAGTAGCGGTACATAAAATGTTTTAAGAAACAATAAAAGAGGATAATTAAAAAGTTACTTCTGCTTTCTCAAGGCATTTTTAACATATACATTGAATTATTGCAAAGGACTTCTCTTCGTTCTCGTGCCGTTTAAATTAATAATTATTTATTTCATGTTGTATTTTTTTTTATCTTTTTCATCAAAATAAAAGTGTTCAAGGTACAAAAATCGTCTCGCATCGGTTAAAGGAAAGGGCGGATATTGCGATTTTCCATTTCACACGTTGCTAACTCACTTCCCTTGACTTTATGACATCGACACATATTCATACACCTATATACTGGAACTCAACACGTCTTTAGTTAGCTACTGAACTGGTCTTTAAAAGTTTCTATTCAGAAGTACCTATAGCTCTCGCTGACTCCATTCCTCATTTCCGTATCATAAACTTTATTCATCACTTTTCCTATTTATAAACTCATAAAGTAATAAAATATTTAGCATTTATTTGTAACGTAAAATAATAAAAAGTTTAAACACTCTAAGGTTGACATTTTGAATAATTTCTCAAAGCTATGATCAACCCATGACCCATACCCATTTTGTTTTTCGATTTTTCGAATTTTCATATGTACATAATTTACCCGACGTTCTTACGGTGATGGAAAAGATCGTGATGCAACCTGCACATATCGGCGAAGAAATTCAAAGATATGTGTGAAGTCAACCAACCCGCACTGGGCCAGCGTGGTTTACTATGGCCTAGTCGCCCCTTATTAGGGTAGGTTTCGAGCCCCTCGGTGGGGACGTCTAGTGAGCTGGTGATGATGATGATGATGATGATACCCATGAGATTCCTTTGCCAATGTAGGTACAGTCGCGCACATCCACGGTGTTCCATATGAAAAACTACCTCGTTAATTGCGAAAAGGCAAATTTCGCCTCTTCCTATAAATAACTTATTAGATTGGTATGATTGGTGCAAACAAAGGAGTAATGAAAATTAAGAAAAAAACTATCCTCGTATTATTAACCGACATGTTTTCGTACATACATATTTATAAACTTCGCTGTATTGATTTTTGTTCCGTGTCCCATTTCAAAACGTTCAAACGATTGTAACTTTTTAGTTGAACCGCTAGTTTCCCCGATAGTACTTTTGCAAAAAAATTAAATCCTGATAATCGAGCTTCGACAGTGAAAGTCACGGTTATAATAATCTATAAATTTATAATAATTATAAAAATTGTTGCAGTAAGTTTATTTCAGTCAACACAATAACCAAAAAAATCTCAGTACTTATAATTTAAATTGTTTCTACTTTAAAAAGATGATTTTTGATGGCGCTCAAATCGCTAAGGGTGAGTTGCACCATATCGCCGGTTACGGTTAAAGTTAAAATTATCTGTAACGGTAATATTTGGAATAACCTTAAAATTTACTAAGGGTGAGTTACATTAACTAACTATAAACCTTAACCAGCACATTCCCGATGGTTTCGTCTGCGGATGTTCATGATATTCGCTACACCAGCTTTACGCTGGTCAAAATGACGTCATATTTGACACTAATCATAACCGCCCGATTTTGGGCGGTTATAGTTAGCGTTACGGTTAGTGTCAGTTCGGTAGTGTCAACTGTCACAAGCTCTTATCTTCAAAAGTACAAATAATAGAAAAAGTAATGGAAAAAGAAAATCTCTACTATTATCCTATACGTAATCCAGAAGAATAAAGTCTTGCGTGCTCGGAAATAATGGATTTCCAAGATGGAACTCGAAATTTGGCCAAACATTCAGTTTGGACAAATTTCGAGTGTCTAAGGCCATAGCAACAGCGCTTGTCCCTTTTCTCTTATTTAAAAAAAGGTCCTCCATAAAAGGACAATTTATAATATGCATTGACAGGACAATTTATAATATGGAAAATAAATAAGATGCATTTATATTTGTATAATTTTATTGCTTCATTTTTGGCGCTACATATTTGAGTAGTAAAGTAAATACAGTTTCAATAATGGCCCAAACTAGTTTATTTTCTCAAGAGTGCCATTTTCTCCATCTCCGTGGGCAAAAAGTTTATGTCACTATAAAATACCATGCGTATGATACATAAATGTAATCGGCGAAACATGAATTTGCAAACATTTTAATTTACGTAAATGTCATTCTTGACACCAACTTAACACTTTAGTGACATTCAGGTTTAAATGTTTCTATTGTAAAAACGAAAAACACATAAAACCTCTGTGAGAATATGTTTTTGCACTTGTAACCCTATTATAACTTTTACGATAACCGGCGATTTGATGCAACTCACCCTAAGTCACTATATGCGAAAAATAAAACGTTTTTATTCGCGGTAGAATTTTATTTTAGTAGTTAATGTATTTTATAGAACTGGCAATACTTTTTATATCGACATAGGACGCCAGAAGAGAATATTCAAGAAAAAATTTAATTCAGTTTGTTTTCACCTGGTTTCGAAAGTAAGAATTTTTATCCTAACTAAAGTAAAATACATAATATATTGTTATAGAAACTATAAAAGGACTACTTTCTTATCTAGTATTGTATGTGCTTGAAATAATATTGTCACTTTCACCGGTAGGACTCTGACTTCGAAGATGAGTTGCCCTTTCAATGATGAGCAATTAATGCAGTTGCAAGTATTTATTGAGTTATGTAAAACTCAACCACAAATTATACATCATCCGAGGCTATCGTTTTTCAAAGATTACCTAGTATCGCTTGGAGTTACACTTCCGACGGCTACTTTTGGCACCAAGCACTTCACTCCTTCCGGGGATGGGTAAGTTGTTTTTCTTTCTCCTACTACTATAATTTAAAAAAAAACATTGAACAATTGCTAATTAAACAGCTACATAGTTCATGTACGACCCTAAACACAATCATTTGCACAGTAAAAGTCGTAAAATAAACATTTGATAACAATATTGCTCTACATCACATTGTTTACTTTTTTATAATATCATGTTTACAATTTTAGGGGTCAAAATGAAGCGGGAGAAAAAGCCCAGACCTCATCAGAAGAAGAAACTGAGCCGGAATCAGATGTGGAACTTGATATGGATGGTAATTATCAAACTTTTTGGAGTTAATATTGTCCTAATAATAAACCATTGATTTTTATTGGCAAAAATATAAAAAATGCAAACCTGATGTTAAAAACCCTTATTTTGTGAATGTACAGCCAATGAATTGTAAATTATTATCTATCTTTTATAGATAATTGCCCATGAAATAAGGAAAATTGTTGTTATTATAGTTTTCAATCATACTAATATTATAAATGTGGAAGTTTAGATGGATGCATGGATGTTTCTATGTAGCCTAAATAGCTGCATGGAAATTTGGTATATATGTAAAGAATCGTCTGGAAGAACTTTTGCTACAGACTTTACTATAGGCTCACTTTTGTTTAATTCCATTCAGTGTCATGGGCGAAATCTAGTAATACAATAAAATTGAAAGACAAAAAAAAACAATTATTTCTATCACTATACAGGTGTAGTAGAAGGTGATACAATTGGCAATGATCAATTGATGGGTGATTGTGACAAAGAACCATCTGATGAAGACCGTGATCAGTCTGATGAGAAGCGTTCAGAAGCGATGCGAGCCTTCTCCGACCAACAGTTTGAGGAAGCTATCAAGTTGTATACTGAAGCCATTCAACTTAATCCGCAGAGCGCTTTATTGTTCGCTAAGAGAGGACAGGTATTATTTAGAAATTATTTTCTTATTAGTTATTAAAAATTGCTGGCAAAAAAACAGCAATGACATTAATCCATATTAAAGTGAACAGGAAGATCAATGTGTATGTTTGGGAAATTCATTTGTGATTTTCAAAAAAATCCATAACGTTTTTGTTCATTTTAATCTGTACTAATTTTATGAAGGGAAAAAATTAGTATTGACATAAATCAAAAACTACTGGGCCGATTTCAAAATTTTTTTCATTAGAAAGGTCACCATCACCATCTTGGAGAAACAGGCTATATGTCTTTTATTTTTTTATTGCACGGAGACGAAATCGCGAACAAAAGTTAGTATGTTATACAATAATCATTTCAGGTGTATTTAAAACTGAACAAGCCAAATGCTTGCATTAACGACTGCACCCGAGCTCTGGAGTTGAATTGTGACAGTGCTGCTGCTTATAAATTCAGAGGACGTGCTTACAGGTACAAACTGATTTTATATTTATTTCATACAAATCTTACTACTATTATAATGCGAAGGTTTAAATGGATGTTTGAGTTTGTAGCCTAAACTGATGAATGGATCTTATGGGTATACAATAAAACTAGATATAAATGTAGAGGATAGTCTGGAAAACAAAGCCACTCACCTTTCATTTTTTTTAATACCTTGTGGACAGAGTCGCTGGAGAAAGCTAGTGTGTATCTAATTGTAATTTTTTCTGTCGAAACATAAAATATGAATGATTTAAAACTATAACATCTCCAAATGTTTTTTTTATTCTAAATAATTCATTTCAACACACCACTAATAATAGAGTTTATTATTACTAGTTTTGTATCAATAAGGTATTTTTAATTTATAGCGCAGATACCAAAAAACTTAATGACATAGTAGGCTATGAATTTTTCTAGATTCTACATCTATGCCAAATGTCATCTACATTCATTGGGTCTTCTGATTATACCTTCTTACATACATGCAATTTTCCCGTTTATGTTAGTAAAAAGAACTATAAATTGTACAGTAGCCGTTTCCCATGACTTCGATTAAGTGGAATTATATAATAAAATGTTTCTTCAGTCTGCAAAATCTGCGAATTAACGTGCACGAAACAAAACCATCTGTATTACCTTGCTGCGGCGGCCGGCCCAGCACGCGCGAGTACAAGAGACTCTTAGGACTCTGAGCTTATCGTGAAATTATGATTAGATTACTAAAACCAAATAAACCTATGTTACTTTGTCATATATAGGCTACTTATTATTTACAGCCTGTTAAATTATGTGTCAGTGCACCCTTTTTAAAGATTTCCTGGAACAAAACTTGCAGATAGACAAATGTCTGTCAAATCTGATTTTTCATTAGTAATTAAATTATAAATTATTTACCTTTTTAAAAATAAGGATCAATGTAAAATTGGGGCCCACATTATTATGACCTATTATTAAATTTTTTTTTCAGGTTGCTGGGCAAATTCGAAGAAGCTTCCCATGACCTGTGTGAATCTCTCAAGATTGATTACGATGATCAAACCAATGAATGGTTGAATGATGTCAAGCCTAATGCTGAAAAGCTGCGTCAACATAAACTCAGTGTTCAGCGCAAAAAGGAGGAGAAAGAGGTAAAGTGGATCACTACTAATATAAAGAGAAAAACTTTGTTTGTTTGATTGTAATGGAATAACTCAAAAATGACTGGGCCGATTTTAAAAATTCTTTCACCATTAAAAAGCTATGTTAGTGAGTAACATAGACCACGTTTTATATTATTTTTTAATTTCACGCGAGCGAAAGTTAGTATTCTTTATTTTGCAGCGACAGCCCTTATTATAAAACTTGATAGTGTATTTGCTATTCCAGACAATAATATCACTATGCTATCATATAGATCTGTTGTCATTGGACTTTCCTACAATGCCTATCCATCCATCCATTGAACATTCGCATATTTAATATTAATAGTAACACAAACTAGAAATTTTTGTATCTTTCTTATGTTTAGTATGCTCCTCTCCATTGCTCGTTGCGTAGTTATTATCTTTTTGTCTAGCATTCTTTGTAAAATAATAAGTTTAGATTTAATAAATAAGTGGTTTTGAAAAAACAGGTTTTGTTTAAATATGTGCTTAACTTAATTAACATGTGCAATAACCTTTGCAACTGTGTACAAAAATGTTTTGCATGCGTAATTAATTCTCCTTATAAATATTCACAAGATTCTTACTTGTTTTTCGAAATCCCAACAAGTGAAATGCCGCTAATAGAACAAGCTGCTACTACATTCCCACAATTATCTGATTAAAATGTTTTATAGCACCGTGAGAAGTTGCGTAGAGTTCGCAAGGCTCAAGAGGCCAGGTCTAAGGCGGCGAAGGCACAAGCGCAGGCCAACGCTCAGTCCGCTCCTACCGGTGGCATGCCCGGTGGCATGGGGGGTGGCATGCCCGGAGCCGGCCCATTCCCCCAGGGCTTCGCCGCTAACGACCTAGGCAGCCTTTTGATGGATCCCGAAATTATCACTGCATTCCAGGTAAGATTAATAATTACGATCTTTTTAAAATACTCATCTCACATACATTATTATAAGCTCAGTATGTTAATTTAGTATTTTATCTAAAAAAAAATACCATTTTTCAGGATCCCGAAGTGATGGCTGCATTCCAAGATTTATCTACAAATCCAGCTAACTTCGCTAAGTACCAGAGTAACCCGAAGATAGCTGCGGCCATTCAGAAACTGCAAACTAAACTTGGAAAAGGTGGTTCCATGCCATTTGGTGGTGCAGGTTAGTATAGTCATAGCCCCTGTCTAACAATATTTTTTATATTCCACTCATCTATACTAGTATAATGTAAAAACACACTTCTCTGTTATGTAAGATGTTTTTAAATAATTATTTCTTTTTTATTAAAATCCTTATGCTTATGATAAGCCATAGTCTATATATTATTTCGATATTTATTTAGGAGTGAATACAGCAGAAAAAAACAAAAACGACAAGCTAATAGCATCAAAGAGGCAAGATTGCCTTGGTAACGGTAATTGTTAGCCAATTGCAAAGGACTTCATTGTCATTTGCGAATTTGGATTTTGATATTTTCAGTTCAAAGTTTAACTGTGTTTATATTGTCTATATAACAAAGTTTTTGTAATTTCAAGTTGATAAAGCAAGGAAACAGCCAGTTCATTCAAAAGAAGTCATTTTTAATGGGTATAACTTATTTCTTTCAGCTTTTGGAAAAGGAGCCACTGATGATGATGTTGGTCTCGACTGAGAATTGAAAATTACCTTTAAAATTGACGAAAATATTTATCATTACTTCTTTTAGATTAGCTATTCACTTTTACCAGTTGTGCAAAATTTATTACATATAAATTAAGGAGTGCCCTTAAAATGCATTTATGTGAAATGAGGTCGGTGGAGGGAATGGTGCCTAAAGTTTGCTCATATTTATAATTATATAGTAAAGTAAATACAGAAAATATTACATTCATGTAAATAATGTAACTCAAAAATTATCATCACAGTTCCTAAAATTTGATTTGCGAAATATGCTTTTAATTATGCTGTGAAAAAAAAAATGTTTTCGTCCAATAATACTACTTGTAGATTTTCATTGATTTAATTGTTTTAGCCATATTAAATCTTTAGTGTGCAATTCAGTGCAATTTTAATGGAGTATTTTTGTGTTTTTAATCCATAGACAGGCACTTGCCATGGGTATAGAAAAACTTAAACATTGTTTTTGTATAAACTGACATAAAATGCTTTTGAAAAAAAAGTCGACAGTGGGAACCAAAGAGTATAGGAAGAAATACTCTAGTCAAAAAAAAATCTGTGTCATAATAATATTTTATAAATTACAATATAAATTTTATTAAGTCATGAATTTGGTGCTACACTATGCGAAAAGTATCTTGTCTTATAACTTGGACTTTACATGTGCCTGTTTATGTATTAATTAACGGCAATAATTATTATGTAAAAAGAATGTGTTCTATGAAATAAATAATTTTCAAGTTTTATCTTAATTGGTATTAAATTTTTTCTTTACCAAAAAGGCTGAAGGATTCTTGATGTCACTTAATTTAAGAGTTTATTAATGCTTTTAGTAGTTTTTTTTACTAATTTTCATTTAAATTTTAGTCATATAACGATTTTTCTTTATATAAATCATACATTTGTGTACTGGCTGACCATACTTATAAATTTTATTTTTAACAGTTAATAAAAGTAATTTAAAATGTAAATGACGTATTATTTTTATATTACATCATACTAATATTATAAATGCGAAAGTTTGGATGTATGGATGTTTGTTAGAGTTTGTATCCTAAACAACAACGGATTTCGATGAAATTTGGTATAGTAGTCTGGAAGAACACATAGACTACTGACTTTTGTTTTTTTTTTTAATTCCACGCGGACGTAGTCGCGGGCGAAAGCTAGTTCTTAATAATCTTGTACTAGAGAAGTGGGGACTTTCAGATAATGTGGAGCGATGGTAAACGGTAGCAAACGAGACTGCGGCCACTTGAATTCGCCACAACCGCGAAGCCCATATACATTAGTGGCAGAGGTAATTTTTTTTTATATTTGTTAAGCTAGCGTTTGACCACGATCCCACCTAAACTAAGTGACGATGCAGTCGAAAGATGGTACGCGCTAGTTTAATAGATAGCTATTCACACTCTCCTTTTGAAGGCCCCCACATCCTATTTAGATGGGAAAACTGAATGATCTGGGCTACTATGAATGCACAATATATTTCTCCTGCCCTTCATGTCAAAAGGAACTTCCTAATAACAATGTGGCAAGTGGGAGAGACATTTATTTTTAAATTAAAGATTATTTTAAAAATAATCTTTGCAGTCGTAAGTATTTTTTCATCTTATTTATGACTGAAGAAGCAACATGTGTCATTGGTTATAAGAAAACAAGCATTGATTTTAAACCTACTTTTTATTAAAATTAATAAATTAAACATCATTTATTCTACCCCAACCCATCCTTATTTTCTTCTCATGTAGTTTTAGCCAGGAAGGCATACTGTGAGGTAATGAATGTGCATTGGGGAACCTCAATGGAGACGGTGGAGCCTTAAATGGATCTTCATTTTTAAGTTTCCGGAGCAGATATTCCTTCTTTATCTGTTTAGGATCTCTATATTTATCCATGTATAGGTTGAAAGGCTTTCGCAGAGGGAACCATTCTTGTGGCCGTATGTAAGGTGATGGAAAATCATACTCATAAACTGAAATAAATATACATTTTATATTAAACTAGTCGAGAACTGGTAACAACTTAATGACCCTATTAGACAGTACATTTTATATGTGCATATGTTGAAACATATCAGCACTTTGTGAATAAATTCATATGCTGTTTGGCAACTTTAAATGTTGGCTAGGCATATTGCAAATAGGCAACATTTACAATCTTTATGTGACATAGCAAGATTTTTTTTGTTCTGTTTATATTGTTCTAGAAATTATTGAACCTTATTAAAATTTTAATTCCTTAAGCATACCTGGCTCCTTTCTATTCAGAATATTGTGAAAGAATTCTTTAACAGTGTGATCCCAATCAGTCTGGTAGAAAGCTAAACCAGATGGTGTTATGCTGTCTTGGTACTTTTGATACCAGTCCCTTGTCACAAATGTCCTGTCTTCAAGTTGGGATGATGATGTAACTGTAATTTAAAGTACACCAATTGTGTATGAGACAACAAAAAAGAAATCATAGTTTGATATAAAATTGGCAGATAAAACCAATGTAACATCAATTTCAACACTAAAAAAAAAATCTTTTTACTAATTATCAAGTTCACTATAACAATTCTTACCATTTTTAAGATTATATGAGATTTTTTCATTTTGTTTGTACAAAACAAACACATATCTGTGATAACCTGTTCCTTTCAGTGGAAATGGACGAAGGTACTCCACAATTGTATCACCTCTTTCTATATTGTTACTGGGAATATTTGCCACCAACCAATGGACATTCTCTTTGTCATTCTCTGTTAAATGTCCATCTAAACTTGTCAATACAAGAGTCCATAACGCATTATCCTCTGATTCAAATGTAACAGATGGTTGTTCTACTGCTTCTGCTGGCTTTATAACATTACCTGTATAAACTGGAAGATTTAGACCATTTTTCAGATCATAGTGTATATCTAAGTTAATGTGAGGTACAAAATAACCTTCCCCATAAAGATGTTCATAAATTCCATAATGCTCAGCTATTTGTTTTTTATGGTTTGGTCCAAGAGTTTGCAACCATTCCTTCCTTGCTTCCTCTAGGTTAATTTCCAATTTGTGATTACGTGCTAAATGTTCAAGCTCTTTATCGCCTTTCAATTTTCTTAAATGTTCTAAGCGAGATATTTGTGTACTTTCGGGGTTTCTGAAAACAGATATAAATGATCAATTCGTTCGTTTGTAATAGATGTAATTAAAATTATAAGGATACTTACTTTGCATGAGGAAATCCTATATCTATTCGCGTCGTGTATAATTCATCTTTGTAATTAAGTTCATCTAAACGTTCTTTTATTGTTCTACAAAATATTGGTGCCTTACCCCTGAGCCTGTGACCTAATCGTATTTGATCGAATTGTATGTTATTTATAAAAGGTTTCCGAAAAACCTTAAGCATTGTAAAAACTTAGCCCTATTATAATTATACTTTAAAATAATAAATTACCAGTGCACTTGATTTATTTTTTTGGTTATGTGAAATTATTTTGACAAATTGACAAATGTCAACTTTAGTCTTAGTAAATTATATAGACTATAGAGCAGCACAAGAGTTGAGTCGTTGAGACATATCCGCTCATACATGCTTTGACTACATGCTAAAAAATGCTTGTTTTATTTCAGGTTACGTAATGTTTCTTCTCTATATACATACTTTTAAATGTGGGTGTAATTACATTGCATTACATTACATTGGAGTGGTCATGGATGTGGCCAAAGAGGATATGTGGCCAGGGAGTTGGAGTGGCGGCTTCCATCCTGCCATCTACAAAAGTAAAAATATAAGATAAATTAAACCTACTTTGAATAATTTTAAATATGATAGGTGACCCCGTAGACCTAAATCATCGGCTGGCGACGACTGTATTCATAATAAATCGGTTAAGCTACATGCGCTATATACAACTCGAACATAGCTGCGAAATATATTATTTTCATCTACCGTCGCGTCGGTAGTCTTGTTTTTATGCAAAGAAGACTGGCTACAGACGTAGCGTTAATAATAAAAATGCCAAAGGCAATTTTCTACGTCATTATTGGCTTTTTATTTAACTGCATAGGGACAACAGTATTTACTTTTTGTAAGCAATCTTTTTACACCTCCAACCCTTATCACATAAGAAAATTCACAGGTACTTTTATTTTTGATGCGTTTCATGATATCTTCTATAATATAACATAACATATAACATAACCGGTCTTTTTATCCGTAAACGAATTCGAAGTACAAATTATTTTGTTCGTTGATTGAATGTTACATTACAGTTGTTCTTCGATCTAACATCCTACACCACTTGCAATCTTTTTTGTATACAAAAATGTGGTTAATAGATGGCGTGGGACTAAAAAAGCCAACATTGCCTGCCAACCTGCCAATAC